TTAAGTTGAGTTGCTCCGCTTTCAACACTGCAAATTCCATAGCGTGCTACCCCATGATGCCCTTCAGTCCCTTCGGGCTGAGATGTTTGCGTGCAATGCGGCATAGGTTCTCAAATAAAAAGAACTCGCCTAGCGGATACTCTCTCGTGCAAAGAACTTCTTCAACATCTATACATTTCGTCGAAGGCTGCGATTTGACGATTGCATTCCAGTAGGTTACTCTGCATGTTTTCCTTTGCATTCCTGATTGACTAGCCTTGCTTTTCGTCCTTTCAAAGTGGTTATGGGGGTGTTTGAAGCATAGCACTATTTGCTTGCTGAAGTGGATTTTGGGGGAATAAAAGAGGTGCTTTTGCTTCAAAAACGGCATTCAATGCATGAAAGTCGTGGTTGAGCATAGTTTGCACACGCGTCTTGTTTACATCGTGTGTTTCTTGTGGCATTGGCCTAGGAACTAATGAATGTCTTATGCCCGTAAGGCGGGGTTGCGTGTCAGCGGATGGAATGAGCTCAGTAACTGAGCTTGAGAGGTGTGCAACTCAATGCCGATATGCACCTCGTCAAGGCAGAGAACACTCTTTACCATCTTCTCCTCATTAATCCAAGAATTCAGTTCCACTAAAAATTGTGTCCTCCTATGTGCGGTTGACCATTTCCCAGAGAAAACTCGTGGTCGAGATGTTGAACAGTTCCATTTCTCCAAGGTACCGCCTCGCATTAATGCCGATTCCTCTCAGCAAGCCAGCTAGCAAGAGGTGTCCCCAACAACTGACCCTGATCCCCATCTCGGAGATTCAGCGGTGTATTGTGGTTAGAAGGGCTGTTGAGTCTATAACTCAAGTTCCGTGCCGGGGGCATCTTGCGCTTTCGCTGCTTCACTACTTCCGGTTTACAAGTCCCTCTTCTCAAACCTGTCAACTTCTGTGAGCTCATTAAATAGCTTTCTAGATGGCTCGACACGTCGATGGGAAGTAGCAGAAGTGCAGGTTGCCCCCTCCCCGTCGTCGAATGCCCCCGCTTCAATTGAAGGCAGTCCCTGCACTCAAACAGCTCGTAGGCTTCTTCCTTGTACAAGTGTCTGGTTCTCACTCCCTGAACTTAACCCCCACCTTCGCGGCTTTGCAAACTCAACGGCTATTCTCTGTCACAAGTTTTCTTTTACATCATGTCAATCGTTTTTTTACTATTATATTTTTGGCGTTGGATGTCGCGAAGGAACGATACCAGAGGCGGCAGGATATCGCTTTGCTGGCACAAAACGAGCAGTCCTGGCGAACTCTGTAAAATAGGTTGCCAGAGGTCCCTATTAAGGCGTTCTCCCTGGTTTCTTTTTTATATGCTCTAATCTTTCATCTCTTCGCCATCCTAAATAGGCTCTGTTATTGATTTTCTCTCATGACACAGTAACAGCAGATCGACGGCGTTAATCGCTGGAAGATTCATATTTGTGAACTGCGTGTGACCATATGGGCTCAAAAATCAGAGTTCAGCCCTCATATCTGTACATCAGTACACTTCACCCATCGAAGGGCCAAATACTTTCTTATAAAGGGAAGAGAGCGCTCCTTAGATGCAGTTCCTATGTGTGAGGCAGGGGTATCGCGAGCGCATTGTTATTGCTTGAAGCATTTGCCGCCTGCACCCCTGAATTCCACTTCATTTCCGGCATTCGACCCTGCTCTGTGCTGGTATGCTTTTCACTCTCTGACTTGATTTCCTGTGCTCGGAAGTTCTGTAAACTTCATGCATTTTGCATTTCCTTATTTTCTAGCGAAAATGAGTGACTCTTCAGATTCTTCGTCACTGTAAACATTAATTAGTGACTGTTTAAGTTTTTCATCGGCCTAATGAAAGCTTTTTAAGTGATCTTCGCCTCGTTCTCCTTTCTCCTTTAAATTTGTTCAGCGCATAGTTTTGATGCTGATCATTGCTGTCTTTCACGACCTATTTTCCCATTCCTCATAGTTATTCTTTCGCAGCAATCCTTTCTATTCAGAAAGAACGTTTTCTTTCTGGTGAGTTTGAATGGTTTCGAAGGTCACGCTTAGAACATACAGTTGGTGAATGTGTTCTAGCCAGTGTTTACTCCCCATATCCCGGAGATGAGGAGGGCGTGGTTGCGTACGTCACTGAAACATGGCGTAGAATGCGTTTCTCGTGCCTTAGGTAAATCTTAGACAAATGTTGTTTGTTGGAGAAGTCTATGACTACAAATCGTCCGGAGACACGCAAAATATTTCCACCAAAAACGTAGCCTCCGCACGGTTCATATGGACAGGACACGCCCTCCCGCATCTCTAAAGATATGTTGAATTACAGCCGGCAATTCATGCTCCTTGAGGCAGGCTACAGGTACGAACACGTGGGTGAAATGGCAACTGTCAGATGCGAACGCCGCCACAAATTCGTTCCACCGTTCACTCGCCTTTCACAAACTTTCCCTCCAAATGTTTGCCACGGGTAAGGGGGTGGTAAATACCTTCGATCAATTGTAGAAGTATCATTTTCGAAGTCAATCTTAGAATGCGTGGATAGTTTACTATAGATGAAGCGCATTCCCCGGGAGATTAGGCATTCCAGGCAGAGTTCTTTTTTTTGAAGTTTAGTTGCAGTCGTTGTTAGCAGTCAGCTGTTTTGATGTTTAAGATTGTCAGCAGCAAGGATGATTTACATCTTGACCAAAGGGTGACTTCTGTTGAGAAAGTGACCGATGAGCTCAGAATATCTGCAGATGAAAGGTGGTTTGCGCTTCATTCGATCCACTTGTTCTAACGTTCCGTATGACCTACCTCACTATCCTCATCCCTCCTACCATCCTATTAGCTTCCTTTCTCTTTTTACCGATTCTTCTAAAGACCCCCCTCGAAAAATCTGCTAGCGACAGCGAAGGGGGGCACAACTGAGGTACAGCTTGTGAGTAACTCTGGAGTGAAGTAGAATTGCCCTTGCAGAGTGTATTCGATCCCCTTTCCTCTTGTTGGCAAGACATTTCTGGTAGTTGATTGGTAGTGCTATTCCCCTCCCCCTCCACTCGACGGCGTAATTCTGGTAAAACTTGGAAAGGACGGGGGGTCGTACCTAAAGAGGGAATCGTTGCACCCATTTTGGTGCTGTACCTGGTCAATAAGTCTCGTGACCAGGCTGTAGTTCTTCAACAGTCGCGGGATTGTGTGCAGCAGGGTATTTCCTAGCTAGTTGACTTGATTATGTTCCATGGCCTCATGTTCTTTTGCGTGAATTTTTTCAAGTTAGTTAACCTAGCGCTCCCAATCTGTTGCCCTATTTTATGCACAAAAACCATGAGATTTCCGTCTAATGGCTTTTGGAAACGGCTCCTTTTATCGCGGTCTCGCTTAGCGCTGATATGGGTTTGTTTGCTCAGCAGGTGGCTGAAAGGGCTGAAGTTGTTATCAGTAGGTGCACGTCCTGCTGTTGGGAAAATTATGCAGAATGCGCCTCCCCCGCCCACGTCCGCCCTTTCCTCCTCTAATACAATCCTCCTCCTCATCATTCCTCAATCCTACTAGCTTCCTACCATCTTTTCCATTATTTTTCCTTTTTCGCACCAGAAATTGTCACCAATAAAATAAAATGAAAATGTGTTTCTTAAGAAATTCTTTGCATTTGTTTCAAAGTCGAAAATTTTCAAAGTTACTGAAGGCTGATTACTTTATCATTTGTTGAATTTATTAAGGGGGGTCAATCTAAAGAAGTAGTTCAGTTTCCGTTTCGCACGTGCCCTTAGACGGAAACTGAACGAGGTCATTCTCCCTCCTCTATGCTCTTCAGTAAGGGAAGGAGGGAATTCTATTGTAAAAAGTTGATAATATTTTCATAGTAAAATGGCATTTTGTTGCAAACACGTTTGTATAGTTATTTTTTTATGAAGTTGTCTACATTTTACGTTTATTTTTTGAAAAATATGGAGCCTCCAATATTAGCTTCTAATTGCTAACAGCGCCTACAGATCCTGTACAAACCAATAAAGTGGGTAGGGGGGGAAGGGTAGCATAGCGTTATATAGCTCCGGTGAAACGGAAATCAGGAAAAGTCAACAACTGAACTAGTCTCCTCGAGGGCGGTACCATCCTCCTGCACTGGCCAAATACGATCCCCTTTTCTGGGGATCCCTAACATGCGTCGTACCCATTTCAGTGTGTTTTTTTTCTTTAACTTTCCTTTATTCGATCTCGGTCAAGTTTCTCGCTAAAAAAATGCGATCCTTTTGCTTTTCACCTCATTAACTCACATACTTTCCCTTTCACTGTGGTATGCAACTCTCCTTTTATCTTTTCCTCACACTCTCTTCGTCCCAGTAGAGTCCGGCGATATCTCTCCAGTTTTTTTTTGCCGAAACTTAGTGAAGCTTCGTTACGGGAGAGGGGTGTGTTCATGGTCATAGAACAGTCTCCAAATGCTTCTTTGTCAGCTTTCTGCCGGCGATCGGCTCGTGTTGTTTGGCAGGGCACTTTGTCGCTACGCTCTCGTCTGGCCTGCTTCGTGAGGTGTTCTGACACACATCCTCATTGAGGGTCACATGTTTTACACCTAAAGACGAGGCTCTTTACCGTTTGTTCGAAAAGTTCCGAACTCATTGTTCCAAAGGTTTTTATGAAAATGTTCGGCGCAGTTTGGCTGGAGGGGGCATGAATTAGTACTTGGCGAAACTTGTACTGGCCACCGTGCCGAAACCTGTAAGTTCCTGTTAGCTGAGTGGCTTACTTGCTCCATTTTGTAGCTTCGCAAGCGTTTACAGGTGACTCACATGAACTGACAAAAGGAAGTAGCGAAAAAATAGAATGCCCCTCCTCCCTGAACCGAACAGCGCCAGATAAAGGAGATTCAGGTTGTCTCGAACCCTTTTTGATGACTGAACTTTGTACTGCTCACGTTCTTTCTGCACTGAGAGTTTCGGCAGTGTAACAACTTGATGTCATCAAGTTTTACAGCCCCTTCTTACCTCAACACTAGCTGTAATATGTATAGCTTTGCTGTTTCAGTCTATCCAACTGGTATGCAAGCCGTACCACAGCAACAGCAACAACCACAAGGAGTTGTAGCGCAACCAGCCGGACGACCACCTGGTGCACCACCACAACAAACCCAACGCCCTACATATCCTCCTGGAGCTACGCCACAACCCCAACCACAATACGCTTATCCTAGTGGCCAACCGGCTGGATATCCACAAGCACAGAATGCTCAAGCTGCAGCATATCAACAACAGATGTATCAGCGACAACAGCAGGTTTGCTTTTTCTTAGATGCTTTAAAGGTTTTTCTCGCTTTAAGGTTTTTCTCAAGATTTTCGAGGCCTGAGTACTCTCTATATCTCGGAAATGGAGAGGGCGCGACTGGGCGCACTTGGAGTCCCCTTTCACGTTTCGCTGGGCTATTTCTTCATCGGGAGACGAAACTGCGGCATCTTTGGTTTAAAAGCGCTTGCAGCCTTGCGGTTTTCACGTGCCGATATCGGTTAATCCGGCTCATCACGTGTGAAGCGTGTGAGTGCTGTAAGGCTATGGCCGCAAAATGAGCCATTGCGTGAGGTGAGTGGTCAATAAAGTGGCCATACGGTAATGCGTATAGGGAACCGCAACTGCCCGTAAGTTGCATGAAGACATTGCGGGTTTCGAATCCCGTCGTGGTCGGCGCTTTTGCCCATTAACTCAGCATTCTTGTGATAACTGGCCATGCTTTGTTTGTGGCTAGACATCACAATGTCGCACGGTAGGAAAATATTCTACCGAAAGCGCAGTTGCCGCCACATACGTGTGGATGACAAGGCCACGCCCTCTCCATCCCCGCGATGTGGAGTGTAAAGGTAACCAAGCACCTGTTCTTTTAGAACAGATCAAAGGGTTCATGATGGGTGGGAATTGCGTTGTTAGCCGTGTTATACGGCGGACAGTTAGCCTGTGTTATTAAGGTTTACTGCCCGAGTTAACGTATGATGTGTGTACTTGTTGCTATGGGCGCATGCTTGCTGTTTCAGGGTTAAAAATCGCGCATCATTTTGCTTTGTCTATTCTTATGTACCGTCTTCTATTAACAAACAGGCAATGTTCGGCTCGAGGGGTGTTTTGCACCCTCTCTAATTTCCTCTGCTAAGTCCAGTTAACTCACAAATATCATCTTGATAAGACCTGTAAACTATTTGCATGACTTTACAGGAATTCACCGAATTTCACAAAGTCATAGGCAGTGGTCGATTGGAACTGGCAAAATGCCCCCCTCCCCCACGCTGGTCTACGCCATGACATTTAGCGCACTGTGCTACTTATTATGTTTGGTTAATCTGTGTGGCACTGAGGTCAGTCCTAAGGAAAGTCTAGTAGGGGTAAGGAGTGCAGTA